CAACAGCCAAGTAAACAGGGTTGGGTATCGTTTGGGTTTTTTTCGATACCGGTGCCAAATTGATACTTTTAAAACGGTTCCAGTGCCTAAACGGTGCCTGAACCAGTACTTATTAAAAAATGCACTATAAGCACTATAAACACATGATGTCTGTTTCATTCATACTGGATGCCAGAGGGCGCCCTCGCACAGAAAATCCACATATCCAGTCACAGAAGTAACGGAACTCATGACCCTCCAGGAAATCCCTTATATGGACAAAGGCATCGCTATTATAGCAGGTTTAGCTTTAGGCATTTTAATTTAAGCATGTTTAGCTTAGTTAACGGAAGGCTACCTGCTGCCGTCAGAGCAAGTGTAATTACTGCATTCACGTGCTCCTCGGATGCTCTCATTTCGCGAGTTGTAAGTCGGAATGTGAAAACAACATGGACGCTCTTGTTACTACAAAGGTTTGTTGGATTTGTATTATTAGAGCTTTCCGACTTGAGTTCACACTGCATTTTCTCAGCCGGGAAATTATTTTTCACATGCAGTGCCGGTGATGATGCTTCATACGTTTGTTTCGGAGAACCAGAGGACAAATATTTCAATCGATCGCTCAGGCATGGCCCCGAAATGAGGCACCGAAATCTGCGTTCGGATTCGGTTCTAGTACATACCGGTTACATAGGTACCGGTGCCATATTGGTACCGGTTTTCGGTACCCAACCCTACACGTAAACAAAAAATAGTTAAATACAATTAAACATGGCCTATTTTACGCAATATAAGCATGTAATGTATCTTTATGCTTATTCGAGTACCATGTTGTTAGCTTAGCAATATGCTAATATCAAATTCCATTGAATTCAATTATAAATCAAGAGCAGTACGGCGTATGTGTTTCTATCTATATAAAGCATCACTTACAAGGTTCCCTCACAGTTATATTCCATCTCACTTAGGAGGCAGCTGTCTACATAGATAGTAAGACAGCAAGGGAGCTCACTGTGTTTTCAAACAGAGGTCTTTATAGCGAGCCATATCTAGGTTCATTTCAGCTTGACTGCCTGAAGGAAGAAAAAACCCGGAGTTGTGAAGCTTCGCGTTTATCTGCTGAAAACACACACCTGTAGGGAGGAAAAATCGCAAATGAGATCTCAATTGTTTCTCCTAGAAAGCAATAAGATGAAATGGAGATCAAATGGAGACTTTTGCTTCAAGAAGTAGCGTTTCCTGACACTGCGACTCTGATACTTTGAAGCCATTGGTCCGTTCGTGCAATTCAATATGTCAACTTCGGTTTCGACCAATGGTGTGACTTTGAGGCGGGACTATCGGTTTGCTCAACCAATGGAAGGCAGAAATAGAGAAAAGAGATTTGGAAACAATTCTTTGCCAACTCCATTTGGTGTCATTAATGGAGCAGAAACTAGAGTATCAAGTCAACAAGCACTTAAAACTGACTCTGTTTACTTTCTTTAAACACATTTCGAGTCTTAATGTGCACGATTCATGAGCGTGTGATGTTGTAAAGACACAGACTGTTTATTTTAGGTGTCCTCCTCCTCCAGTAATCTCCCGTGTGTCTCCGTTAAGTCTCTGAAGCTATGAGAGAGCAACCTCAGAGCAATAATGATCTCCTCCGGGTGGCTAAATGGCTGGCTTCCTAGAAGGTAATAATGGGAAATGTATGAAGAGAAACAAAGGCATCGTGGTTCCAAAGCAGCAAAGGCATCATTTTCCCAAGTCTTCAGTGGTACGGAGGAGATTGCGAAGCTTGTAAAATAATTATGGCTCTTGTGCGTCTGACCGGCCACAAGACAAATTATAATAACACCCTGTGAATATCCAGAGTGCTTATAATGCATTAAGACACTACAAGTGCTCATAAAACGGTATGATTGTTGAGGGTCCTTAAACAGATGAGAGTTAATGACAGGAACATTAAGATAACTCGGTTCCCCTCGCACGGTGTCTCAGAGACGCCTCTAATGTCACAGTGGAAATAAGGCTGTGAGGGATAGTAGTACAGTTTCGAAAAGTTAAACTGCTGTATGCTTTGGTGACGATGGTTCTGCTATAAAAAAAAAACATTGAAAATATTTGTGATGAAAAGATTTCATGTGGACAAAGAGGAGCTAATATGTGCAAAAGTGCTCAGGTGTCTAACATCAAAATGCAGAACAGATATTTAATAATAATTTTTTTTTTCACTAAATAATCTAAACTAAATAATCAATACAATAAAACCATAATATGCTTTATGAATATTTAAATAAAAATTATTATAATGTATATGATATATGTACGTATTATAATATATACTGTATGTATATATATACACACACAAGAAAAATAATACATACTATTTAATATTTATATTATTTTAATTATTTTAATGTATTAATTTAATTATTTTATTGTATTTCTTAAAATAGTGTGATAAATCGTAAATATCAATTAAACGGTTTAATAAACACAGTTCATTAAAAAATATTTATTAATATTTTACCCACTATTTTTGTGCAGTTTTTTGTGCAACCCATTATTTTGAAAAATTAAAAAACATCCATCTGACATGTGCACATATAGACTACAAAAGGTAAAAACATCCATCTGACAAGTGCATAGACTACAAATAAAAAAAATAAAAACTGACAGGCAAAGAATTTTTTCAAATTTTCAATGCATTTTAATGCTTTTATGCTCTTTAATGCTCTGCCACAGTAATGTAAAATTGAATATAGCCTCTACCCCGACTGAAGTCCATTGATAGATGGTGACTTTTAGATTGTGCTTTTTGTGACTTTTAAAGAATGTAAGGACACATTTGATTAGAACATCAATATGAAACACGGCCATATGGCTCTCGTTTGCAATTACACCTGGCTGGGGAAAAATGGAGCAGCTTTACAATATGTTCTATTACTGTCAACATTTATGATGATGAATTCACAGGTGAAGGTCGATTATGGACCAGCACAGGGTTTCAAAACATTCAAAGAATGTAAGGATGTTGGGTTTGTCAGGGCCTTCAAAGCTATAGCCTTAAAAACCCTGCCTAAAACCCATTTACTTCAGATTATATTTGAAGGCCAGTCGACTGCAGAACAGCTTTACGGTCCACTGTAAAATCCACAGCTTTATAGAAGAATCATCTTTACTGTTCACATAAAACATTGCTTGCTCACACATGACTGAAAATACTAAAACTGTCTCTTTTAAGAAGTATTATTTTAAGGTGTTTATGCCTAAATGTCACCAGTTTCCATTGTGGCCTCGCATGTACATGCAATATTCCACTTCAAAGCTCGAGAAAGAGTTTATTTTGGCGACTGGGACTTCATTTTAAATGCTAAATCCTTTCCTGTTACCGGACACCTCAAAGCCACAATTTGGACAGCTAATCTGCTTTAATGCCTAAATGTATTTTCCAGGACAAGACATGGACAGAGAGGGCATCTACGCACTAAAGTTATCCTGAGAATCCACTAACGAATCTCTTTCAGTGCAGATTCAAAGTAGTTAGTTTCCTTTTTTTAAAGGATACTTTAACTATTCTGAGTACCTTAAAATGTTGCTGAAATAATGTCAGTAGAGATGCACTGATTGCAATTTTCTTGGCCGATTCCGATTTCCGTTTTTTTTTTTTTTAAGTGTGACCTGCTGATACCGATTTTTGCCGATTCCGATTTCTTTCAAAAAACTATAATTGACACCATATACAAACAAAAATCTATACTTTAATGCAAAAAAAAATTAATTACATAATAAAAAAAATTATTAAACATTACAATTCCCCCAATCTGGACAAAGTTACAGATGTTCTCTCACATAACAACTATCAAAATAAAGTGCTCTGTGACTAGACAATAGGTCGAAATAACAATGAACTGAAAAGGAGTTGCTGTATTTAACAAAACGGATGTAATTTCCCACTGTTTCGTAAAATTGTCATTTTTTCACTAACCTTATTAAATGTCATCTTTCACATCAAATTCTTACATTGTTTCAATTAATTCAGAATAATCAGAAAGTGTAGAGCTGTTACCATTCAAATGAAATCAGTATCAACAAACTCCATCTTTCCACTGCAGGAAACACAGAAGCTGCATCTGAAGTGGCATTAGATGTATTTACACAGATTGTTTGATGAAGCTGAGGTGCCATAAATGCATTGAAACTGCAAAATTTCGAATGCATAAAGAATTTTATACGATTTTAAAGTTTTAAATATTTTTTAAACATACAAATAAGAAATGTTGGGGAAAATGCACTGATAGTTTTAAATATGAAACCAAACCAGTAGGTGGCGGCAAATGACTTGAATGAGTGAGTCATTTAGAGTGAGTCCTTCATTCAACAGATTCGTTCAAACAGCCGATTCATTCAGAAACGAGGCAAGTGACTATGGGTTGAATGGGTTACTGAATCATTGACTCACTTGATTCGTTCAAAACCGTGGATTCATTCAGTAACGAAACATCGCTGAATTTCTTTCTTTCGTTGAACACAAAAGAAGACATTCTGAAAAAAATTGGTAACTAAGCAATTATGGAATGGAAAAAAATGACTATGGAAGTCAATGGCAACTGTCAACTGTTCGGTTACTAACATTTAGGGGTGGGCGATATGACCAAAATCTTTTATCAAGATATGAGTCATTTTAATGCACGGTAACGATGTACATTACAATATTGTTATTTTTGCTTTAAATAAGGTCTTTATGATATCAAAATTTTGATACCATAGAAATTCCATAATTCTTGTCACCAGTGTCAATAAAACAAAAAACTAATACTACCCTAAATTTAAAAAAAAACCTCAAGCTCACTGAACACAAGTAAGCAGTCAGCGATTAATTAAGAATAAGACACTAATTACAAGCAATAGGACAAAAAACTACAGTAAAACAAATATATAAGAAATGCTACATACACTGTATAAAGTAATCAAATGTATAAAAACACTGCATATTCTTCACTGAGTAAATTAAATATATATTTCCTCTTATTAAAGTTACAAAAGTGATTTAATCAAGAGCAGTGAGAGATTTTCTATCTTTTGTTGTTCGATTAACATGAATGACAGACATCAGGAATATTAGACTGCTGTCACTTTAAGAGCTGCCCAGATCCGATACTCTGTTACACATGTGTTTTCATTCTCAGCTGTTGCTTTCACTAGTAAAGATACTTGCAAAGACGGGCATTTTGACACATATAAGTGTGTGTATTTAACCTAGGGCTGGGCGATAAAACGATAATGATAATTATGGCAATATAATTTTCCTCGATAAAACGATAACAAAAGTTTGATAATTGTTCGATATGATGTTTATGCTCCAAAAGCTGAACGAAATAGCGTGATTTCCTAATTTGAACCGCGACACACGGACCGTTTATCCGCTCGTGTGATGCTGACACAGAACAGCATACATTGTTTACATTCAGTGTATACTCTCCAAAATGGCGCCAAGGTGACGCAGAGGAGACAAATTGTTGAATAAAGCAGTTATTTTGTTTTCTTTGTGCACAAAAAGTATTCTCGTAGATTCGTAAAATTACGGTTGAACCACTGATGTCACATGGATTATTTTACCGATGTCCTTGCTACGTTTCTGGACTTGATTGTGTAAGGACCCTTACTGTCTATGGGAGGGTCAGAGAGCTCTCGGGATGCATCAAAAATATCTTAATTTGTGTTCTGAAGATGAACGGAGGTCTTATGGGTTTGGAACAAAATGAGGGTGAGTAATTAATGACAGAATTTTCATTTT